ATTAGGTTATTTGAGTCTCAAACCTGGCTGCATGTCGGGGTCATCTAGGGATATTTAACAAACACTGGCCCGCATCCCACCCCCAGCCAGTCTGATTTAATGGGACTGGGGGTGTAGGGGGGCATGGTACCTGGGCATCAGGATTTTCAAAAGCTCCCCAGACGGTTAGAATGGGCAACCAAGGTTGGGCGCTGCAGCTTCTGTAGAGCGGGCCACAACCTCTACTGCCGGTGTCCCAGCCTGATGCTGAGAAGAATAGTCATTTCATTGCCTCCCTCTACATACCCTGTATTTGAATTATGGTGCTGGGAAAGAATATTGAACATACCATGGAATAAACTAGAGAACAAACAAATCAGTCTTAGAAGAAATACAACCAGAATTCTCCTTAAAAGCAAGGATGGTGAGACTTCATCTTGCTTACTTTGGATGTGTCATCGGGAAAGACATATCATTAGAGAAGGACATCACATTTGGTAAAGTCAGTGAAAAGGAGGGAAGCCACAATAGTGGACGCAAACATACGAACAGTCTTGTAGATGGCACAGGGCTGGGCAACATTTTTTCTGTTATTCATAAGGTCACCATGAGTCCAAGCTGACTCAATGGCAAGTAACAACAACATACCCAGTAGGGGAAGTCTTTTGGAAAAATAGATTATTGCTTCAATGTCCTGATTATTGCTTTTGAAATGCTACTTTCAAAATGGTTCTTTTGTAATGTGTTGATTTTTTTTCATTGTAATAAAAGGCGTATAAGCTCTTGTTAGAAAACTTGAAAATAGACCATTAAAAATAAAAGAATAAAAATCACCTATTCTCCCACCATTCCTTCACAACCACTGTTAGGCAGGGTTCTTGCTGGACACGGAGAGGCGACAGAGTGGGGCCTGGAGCAGAGACCAGGGAAGGACCCAGGCGGAGCAGTCCCTGCCTCGCCTCCAGAGAGGGTCTGAGGATGGTGGGTGGCGGCTTGTTCCAGATGTTGGACCGTCATTTCCCAGCCAGCAAGTCTTTGTGCGGACACTCTCCCCCTTTAGGGAACTTAGAGTCTAGTAAGGGAGACACAGTAAATCTATCACTGCATGAACTAGAATCAGCATTGTGATGCATGCCCCCAGGGGAAAGCGCTGAGGGGCTCCAGCAGCTGACAGGAGAGACCAAAGTCTTTGAGGAACAATCAAAGGTCCTCATGCACAACACGAGGTTGTCATCAAGTCAGTTCTGGCTCACGGCGACCCCATGCGTGCAGAGTAGAACTACTCCATAGGGTTTTCAAGGCTGTGACCTTTCAGAAGCAGATAGCCAGTCCTGTCTTCTGAGGAGCCTCTGGGTGGGTTGGAACTGCCAACCTTTCGGCTAGTAGTAGAGCGAGCGCTTGACTGTGCCCCCCAGGGACTCCAAAGATCCTGATAGCAGGAGGCAAATTTGCCCATCACCGTGCAGGCAAGCCAAAGCTACTTCAGCCTGGAACTCAGGAAGCTACTGGTGTTCCCTGACAAAGCAATGATTCCCCTTTACCTATGGTAGAAGTCCTGTATGTTTCTCCGAGGTGGGAGAATCTGTGATGCTGCCATATATTTATCCTGAAGAACAACGCCAGTGAAATCGCCCTTGTCCATTTTTAAGGTTTTTACCCATTGCCTACTGAATCAAAATCAGACTACTCAGCATGCAGTCAAGGCCTCTGCCAACTTCTGTCAATTGTCCATCTGCTGGACTCTATCCCATCCCTTGTCCTGCTCCTTTCCTCAGAATTCCTGGAGAGGGATTCTGTACTGAGCATGTCCTGCCCCTCCACTTCCCCGAGGTTGCTCACTCTGTTTCCTCAGCCTGAAGGCCCCTTTCCCTTTCTTCAGACTTCTCTTATCTGTGAGCCTTTCTTCATCCATCCTTGACTGGCAGTAATCTGCCCCCATTCTGAACTCCCCTGGTATCATCAGCCGTCTTATGGATTTCTGTCATTTCCTACCTTGTATTTTAGTTATTTCCACCACTTGTTTGTCATATTGTGGTTGATGTCTTGTGTGTTGCTATGATGCTGGAAACTATGCCACCAGTACTTCAAATACCATGAGGGTCACCCATTGTGGACAGGTTTCAGTGGAGCTTCCAGACTAAGAGAAACTAGAAAGAAAGGCCTAGCGATCTACTTCTGAAAATCAGCCAATGAAAACTTTATGGCTCACAAAAGAATATTGTCCGATATAATGCTAGCAGATGAGTTCTCTAGGTTGGAAGGTGCTCAAAATACAAAGTAGCCCCAACAATGGACTCGAGCATACCAACAATCGTGAAGATGGCACAGGACCAGGCCATGTTTCATTCTGTTGTACTTGGGGTCATCATGAGCCAGAGCCCATGACTAGTGGCAACAACAATTTCAGTTATTTAGGTCGCATCTGATTGACACTCTGGTCTATCCGTTCCGCAAATGCAGCCAGGTTTATTCCATCTCAGGACCTTTGCATTGGCTGTTCTTTTAGCCATAAATTCTCTTCCTGGAGCTTCACATTACTAACCCCTAGTAGAATACAAGTCACTTAACAGCAGGAACCTCTTTGTCTGTTTTGTTCACTGCTGTATCACTAGTGCCTGCAACAGTGCCTGGGACATAGTAGGTGCTCAATGCACATTTATTGAATAAATGAATGAATATCCTGTAATTCAGATTTTTCTTACATCTCTGCCTAGGCTTGTAACTAACTATAGGTTTTGTCATTCTCTGAGTATCCACTATGGTTTTTCATCAGCTATAGTTGTTCTGCTTATTTGTGTTTTCCTTACTTCTAAATCCACTGGAAATCTAAGTTCAAAATCCCAACAGGAGTTCCCAGTTGGAAATCTAAGATATAAGTATACTGGTAAAAGGTAAAGGAATTTTACTCTATAATCTATAATATTTTTCTTCTACTTTATTGATTTGAAAATAAAAATACTTCTTTCAGCATTTTAAAACCAGAATCCTTATTTGTGGAATCTTCAATTTAAGCATTTTTTTTTAATGTTATGACGTAGTTTTTATTTTTTTATTATTGAACACATTTAGTAGAAGTAATCAGTGATATCAACTTTGTCTTTTTATCAATTTGATATTTTACATTTATTTAAAAAACGTAATGAGCTATGACACTCAAAGATCTAGGAGATTATATTAAAGTTTAGCCATCGGATTCAGAGATTAATCGGACATTCTAGTTAATTGAGTTTTTACCATAACTGTCATAGTGATAGTTTTTAACCAAAGAAAATTCTCTTTAGCATATGCAATCCCTTTGATGCTTTCTGATGTGCTACCATTTTAATGGTAAAAATCCTTGGGAGAACCAGTTCTATTTCACAGGATCCAAGCTGTTCTCCTTGGTAGGAAACGTCAGCCTGCTTTTGCAAAGACTGAGTCAGTGATGGATTGAAAATGTCTTTCACATTTTTCATCCTCTGATTTATTCTTAGTTGCACTGCAGTAGATGCATTCCTGTAAGTGCCTCCTTACACCACATTTGATTAAATAGCCAGGGCTCAGCACTTCGTGGACCTGCAGTAATCTTCATTATCTCTACCTAACCTCGTTTGGCTTGTATTTTCCCCATTTATTACTGAGATGAATAAATAGAGAGCAAAGAGGATTTTCAAAGATCCTCTGATAGATAGGTGGAATGAGGAAAATGTCCAAAGGGAGTGATGCAGACCTGAGAATTAGGAGCAAATCAGACCTATCATGTTTTTGGTGGAGTAGCAAGTCTTTTAACTGTGCTCTCCCTCAGCCTCCCCGTCTGCAAAATATCAGACAGTGCCAAATTATCTTAGTGTGAATCAGTAAGAGTGTCATTATAAAGCACTTCAAGTTCACAAAGGACAGGAATAGTGCCTGATGCAAACAAGTACAAATGTCTGCTCATGATAATTTACAATTCTCAAGAACCATCCAAATATTTCCAGAGTACTTTGTTTGACGTGAGAAAATACAAACGGAAGTTAATTAAAAACTATTTAATGCATTTAATAGACATGAATAATTCCAACTTGGAAAAATCTGTTTTTTATGCATATATAGAAATTTACCTGGAAGGAAAATTCACTAAGACATTAATAAGGGTTACCTCTGGCTGGTAGGATCACAGGAGGTGGGATTACTGGTGGTTTTTCTTTTTTTCATATATTTTTTTGTTTTCCAAATTTTCTACTATGATCATATATTAATACTTACAATGTTTTTAAGAGTTATTTTTCTTTTTTTAATTGTTGTAAAATATATATATAACATAAAATTTGCCATTTAACCATTTTTAAGTGTACGATTCAATGGCATGGATTATATTAACAATATTGTGCAACCATCACTATTACCTATTTCCAAAACTTTTTCATTACCCCAAACAGAAAATCAGTATCCTTTAATTCTCCATTCCTCCCTTCCCTCAGCCCCTGGTGACCACTAACTCACTTTCTGTCTCTGTGCATTTGTCTATTCTAGACGTTTCATGTAAGTGGTATGATACAATATTTGTTCTTTTAAGCCTGGATTATTGCACATAGCAGTGTTTTCAGGGTTCATCTGCATTGTAGCACGTATCAGAGCTTCATTTCTCTATACAGCTGAAGAACACTCATTGTACAAATAGAGTCCCTGGGTAGTGCAAATGGTTAACACACTTGGCAGCTAACCAGAAGGTTAGAGGTTTGAGTCCACCCAGAGACACCTTGGAAGAAAGGCCTGTCAATCTATTTCCAAAAAACCAGCCACTGAAAACCCTATAGAGCACAATTCTACACTGATACACATGGGGAGTCGTCTCTACGGCAACTGGTTTATGGATAGACCGTATTTTGTTTATTCATTCAACTGTTGATGGGCATTAGAGTTGTTTCCAGCCACCTTTTGGCTATTGTGCATTTAAGAGTTATTTTAATCAGTGCTATAGAGTCGTTTGTTGCACTGTCCCGTGCAGAGGGTGCCATCTTCTTCAGAGTTGCGTTCTTACGGCGCAACCCTTGTCTCAGTCCAGGATCTGTGTGCGGTGGAAGACCATGCCTGTGAGCATCTCTGTGTGAACGTGCCAGGCTCCTTCGTCTGCCAGTGCTACAGTGGCTACACCCTGGCTGAGGACAGGAAGACGTGTGTGGGTGAGTATTCCCTCCTGCCTCACTTAGTAAGAAAGGACAAGTTAAGCATACTAAGGAGGGAGAGGGAGCCTCAACATGTGCCTCCCACATATAAAATTATTTTCCTTTGGGTTTCAACAAAGTGCTCAGTTGTTAGGCCTAGTAGTTAGTCCGATTTTGACCTTTAAATATTTCATTTATGGCTGAGGTCAGCATTTTCGTGTTCTGGGTCCTCAGCAAAAAGCATACTTATGATAATCTACATGAATTTAATTGTCTGTTACTATATCGCTTGAAAAGGACTGGGCGGATTTCAATCAAATTTGGACTGTATAGTTAAAATGGCTGACTTCAATATAGCCCATGTGTTATACATGAAATTCACTTGGTGTTGGGCACGTTACTGAATGTCACCTCAAAGATATAAGGGGCCTTCCTCTCTAGTACTGTACCTGAAGCTCAGTGAGAGACCCACGTGACAGCCAGATATAAGAGCCCAGTGGTATGTAATGGTCGGAGAAAACTAACAGTGGTTTCAAATGGAAGAGTCTCGAGGGCAGTGCTTGGAACTTCAGACACCAATTTGCAATCAGCTGACTGGCTATAACAGAAATACCACAAGTGGATGGCTTTAACAAACAGAAATTTATTTCCTCACAGTAAAGTAGGCTAAAAGTCCAAATTCAGGGCGTCATCTCCAGGGGAAGGCTTTCTCTCTGTGTTGGCTCTGGAGGAAGGTCCTTCTCATCAATCTTCCCCTGGACTAGGAGCTTCTCACGCAGGAAACTTGGGTCCAAAGGACACGCTCTGGTCCTGGCACTGCTTTCTTGGTGGTATGAGGTCCCCCTGACTCTCTGCTGGCTTCTCTCTTTTATATCACAAAAAAAACCAGCTCAAGACACAATCCAGTCCCGTAGATTGAGTCCCGCCTCATCAACACAACTGCCGCCCATCCCCCCTCATTAATACCATAGAGGCAGGATTTACAACACATAGGAAAATCACATCAAATGACAAAATGGTGGACAATCACACAATACTGGGAATCATGGCCCAGCCAAATTGATACATAGATTTTGGGGGGACACAATTCAATCCATGATAGTGGCTTACCACTTGGGTGGCTCCACATTGCATGACCAGGGCAAGAGGTGGGAGAGGTGGGGCTGGCGTTGATTTCTTCATGGCAGATAATGACACTCCTCACACCTGCAGAGCAGGCCAGCAAATCTCTGATGTGTGTGTGGCACTCCCACTTTGTCAAGGAAACTCCTCACACCTGCAGAGCAGGCCAGCAAATCTCTGATGTGTGTGTGGCACTCCCACTTTGTCAAGGAAGTCCTTTAAACTTGCATAGTCTCCTTTGTCCTTCCACAGACAAACAGCCTCAGTTTTCTCATCCATAATATGGAGTAATAATACCTACATCATAGGGTTGTTCTGCTGATTAAATAAGATATTGTAAAAAGTTCCTAATACATATTAGGCACTTATTCTTGTTATTATTATTCTCATCATTATTATTATCAGCATCATTTCCTGGAGATGGTGAAGTATGAAATTAGAAGAGAATGAAGGACTGAACCTTGGGCTGTAGGCACATGTAGGGAGCAGAAGGGAGAAGTAGGGGCAGGAAAACTGTGAAGGAATATCCCAAGGAGGGAGTGAGGGAAGAGAGAAGATATGAATTAGAAGAGTCTTAATGGGGAAGAGAATTTCCAGACCAGGTCCATATTAATGTCATGCTCTGTCTTAGTCGTCTAGTGCTGCTATAATGAAATACCACAAGTATTTCTTTACTTCACATGGCTTTAACAAAATAAATTTATTCTCTCACAGTCTAGTAGGCTACAAGTCCAAATTCAGGGCATCAGCTCCAGAGGAATGCTTTATCTGTCAGCTCTGGAGGAAGGTCTGTGTCATCAATCTTCCCTTGGTCTGGGAGCTTCTCAGAGCAGGAACCTCAGGTCCAAAGGACGTGCTCTGCTCTCTGTGCTGGTTTCTTGGTGGTATGAGGTCCCCATGTCTCTCTGCTTGCTTGTCTCTTTTATATCTCAAAAGAGTTTGGCTTGAAACACTACCTAATCTTATAAACCTCATCAATATAATTGCTGCTAATCTATTTTATTACATCACAGTGATAGAGTTTACAACACATAGGGAAATCACATCAGATGATAAAATGGTAGACAATCATACAATACTGGGAATCATGGACCAGCCAAACTGATGTGCACATTTTTAGGGGGACATAGTTCAATCCAAGACATGCTCCAAAGAGGATGAAGGGAACAGAACTTAGAGAAAAGGCATTGAGCTGCGTCATTGAATCACCTCAGCAAACATTTCAGTACTTTCTACCAGTCACTCTGCTAGGCATTAGGGTCACAAGATGACCAGGAGACCACTGCTAATGTTCAGAAGTGGTGGGGTAAAGAGCAGATTTCAAGGGGTAGAGAGTGAGTGGTGAGAAAGCAAGGACAGCAAGTTTGAACTATTCATTTAAAGAAGTTTGGTCGAAATCAACCATGTCCAGCTACCGGTGGTTCAATGCAATGAGTTTTCAGATTCAACACTGCCATAGCAGTGGTTCCATTTCATGGACTCATCCCAGAATCATGACTGTGACCTGCATGAAAATTCAATTCTTAGTCACCGACTTGAGACTGTTCACCGTTTTGAGTTATTGAAGCCTTAAATTCAACCGTCAGGGTCCTATCTCCCTCTCTGTTCATTTCACTCTTTCTAGTATTGAATTCATTTCCACATTCAGGTGATCAAGGGTGGGTTACCTACCAGCTAAGTATTCTCCTTTCACTTTCATTGAGTCCTATATTTGTAATCCATCAGCTGCCATTAAAGCTATGCTAATTTCTATCCAAAACAGTGTATTTTTCAAAGATCATTTTTATCATTATTGAATATCTTTGAGGCTGAATTTTCTGCTGTACTTGTTTACCTACTGCCTTATATTTCTGGGTAGCTCTGATTCTGTTTACATGTTATCTGCCCAACCAGACTGTAAATCTTGGAGGTCAGAAGCCACCTGTACTTTTGCATCCTTCACAGAGTGAACTCACAATATGTTTTTCTTGAGTCATTAAAGTTGAGTGACTGATTAGAATCTCAAGCATTCCTGTTATTTTAATCTTTTCCACTTGATTGGTTTTTAAATTACAAAGTCAGTGTTTAGTTATTTTTAAAAAATTTAAAAGCTGAGGACTTCCGGCAAGATGGCGCTCTAGGCAGAAACACCACGCCGTCCCTCCACAACAAAGATCCGAAAAACTAAGCCAAACAGAGAATCAACAATCCTGAAACCCTAGAACATCAAATGAAGAGATAAAGAAC